GTCAGGAGATCGAGACCAACCTGGCTAACATGGCAAACCTCTGTCTCTACTAAAAATACAAAAAATTACCTGGGTGTGGTGGCATGCGCTTGTAGTCCCAGCTACTAGGGACGCTGAGGCAGAAGAATCACTTGAAACTGGGAGGCAGAGGTTGCAGTGAGTGGCGATCTCGCCACTGCACTCCAGCCTGGGCCACAGAGTGAGATTTTGTCTCAAAAAAAAAAAAAAAATCTTTTCTGAGAATCGTCCTATGGAACAAAGTTCCATCAAAGCCAATTTAAAAGCCTATGTAAAAAATAATTATTCTTGGCCAGGCTAGGTGGCTCATGCGAGTAATCCCAGCACTTTGGGAAGCTAAGGCGGCAGGGGATCACAAAGTCAGGAGATCGAGACCATCCTGGCTAACACGGTGAAACTCTGTCTCTACTAAAAATACAAAAAAAATTAGCCAGGTGGGGAGGCACACGCCTGTAGTCCCAGCTACTCAGGAGGCTGAGGCAGGAGAATCACTTGAACCCGGGAGGCAGAGGTTTCAGTGAGCCGAGATCGTATCACTGCACTCCAGCCTGGGTGACAGAGCAAGACTGTCTCAAAAAAAAAAAAAGAATTATTCTTGCTGTACTGTATACTTATAATTAGGCCAAGTGTAATAAGCAAACCAGTCGTACCATGATTCATTTTTAGTAAAATGGGAAACAGAAAGAAAACATTATGTTTTAAAACGATTGCACACCTGTTGTTAAATTCTAGTGTTTCCTAGAATCTAGTTCATACATTGCCTAGAATGTATGGACTGCAGAGTGATGTGGCCTCTATGGATTTTTCCAGGATTCTTCTTTTTTTTTTTTTTTTTTTTTGAGACGGAGTTTCACTCTTGTTACCCAGGCTGGAGTGCAATGGCGTGATCTCGGCTCACCGCAACCTCCACCTCCTGGGTTCAGGCAATTCTCCTGCCTCAGCCTCCTGAGTAGCTGGGATTACAGGCACGCGCCACCATGCCCAGCTAATGTTTTGTATTTTTAGTAGAGACGGGGTTTCACCATGTTGACCAGGATGGTCTCGATCTCTTGACCTCGTGATCCACCCGCCTCGGCCTCCCAAAGTGCTGGGATTACAGGCTTGAGCCACCACGCCCGGCCCGGATTCTTCTTTTGTTTGTTATTTTTTTTTCTTTCTTTCTTCCTCCTATTGTCCCTTCACAGAAAATGAGACTTCACAACCTGCTAAAAATGAGCTTTCAGGACCTACTCATCTAGAAATAAACTGTCCTAGCCATGAGAGATCAGATGAAACCTGAGGCCAGATACTCATTTTTCTTTCTCCAAATGATTTTAAAAAAGAAGGCCGGGTGCGGTGGCTCAAGCCTGTAATCCCAGCACTTTGGGAGGCCGAGGCGGGTGGATCACAAGGTCAAGAGATCAAGACCATCCTGGTCAACATGGTGAAACCCCGTCTCTACTAAAACTACGAAAAATTAGCTGGGCATGCTGGCGCGTGCCTGTAATCCCAGCTACTCAGGAGGCCGAGGCAGGAGAATTGCCTGAACCCAGGAGGTGGAGGTTGCAGTGAGCCGAGATCGCGCCATTGCACTCCAGCCTGGGTAACAAGAGCGAAACTCCGTCTCAAAAAAAAAAAAGAAAAGGGGGGAAATGTGAAAGGAAAATACCTTCGGCCTTTTCAAGCTGGGAACTGCTCAGGGCAAATCCGCCTCCAATTCTATTCAAGTCATCTCTCCGCTCACAGAGATAGATGCATATTCTGATTGCCTCTTCTGGAAAGACTTGTCAGAAACTCGAAAGAATGCAATCTGTGTCTCACCTACATGTGGCCTGGAAGTGGAGGCCTTGCTTTAAGCTGTCTCCACCTTTCTGGACTGAACTAATATACTTCATACATATTGATTGATGTCTCCTGTCTCCCTAAAATGTATAAAATCAAGCTGTGCCCCGACCACCTTGGACACATGTCATCAGGACCTCCTGAGACTGTCACAGGTACATCCTCAACCTTGGCAAAATAAACTTTTAAAATTAACTGAGACCTGTCTCAGATGTTCGGGGTTCACATAGGCAAGACACAAACATATGCTGACTGGAGGAACCTGTGGGAGTGGTATAATGATCTATCTGGAAGTTTATCATTTCCTTCTGCAAGACTGGGAAGTTTTTCCACAGGAGGTGGCTCTGAGTTGTGCTTTGAAAGAAGGGAAGGGTGGATCCTGGTTGAAGAAGTAAAAGCAGTTATTTTTGATAACAAGAATAATACAGGCTAGGGCTGAATAAGAAGGGATGGGAACAAAAGAAACTTGGCTAGAAGCCAACAGATGGACTTAAGCAAGGGAAATAAGACATACAATATCACTATCATCTTGCATTAATACTCTTCATTTTTACTTATCAAAACACTTGCACATAAATGATTTCCTTTGATTTTCACAGTAAGCCTGTAAAGTAGATGATAGACAGTCCAAGAAGCAATCATTGTACAGATTCCTTTGTCATTTATTTAGGAATCAAGGGATTGAACCAAACACTTTTCCCAAGCTTGGTTCCTTGAGCCTTTGGCTGGCCCTGAGATAGACAGCTGACGTGGATAGCGCTAGAGTCTGATAGTTTACATTTGGGGAATGAAGTAGTAGAAGCCAAAGGCTCAAAGAATTACCCAAGTGTCAACATACAGGATTGACAGAAAAGATGACAAGCTGGCCAGGTACCATGCCTCATGGCCTGTAGTCCCAGCATTTTGGGAGGCTGATGTTGGAGGATCACCTGAGCCCAGGAGTTGGAGACTAGCCTGGGCAACATAGTGAGACCTTTTCTCTACTAAAAATTAATTTGTGTGTGTGTGTCTGTGTCTGTGTGTGTGTGTGTGTTTGTGTGTGTGTGTGTGTTTTCCCAGGCATAGTGGCATGTGCCTGTGGTCCCAGCTACTTGGGATGTTGAGGTGAGTGAGAGGTGAGAGGACTGCTTGAGCCCAGGAGTTCAAGGCCAGACTGGACAGCATGGTGAGATCCTGTAAAAATAAAAAAAAAATACAAAAAATACAAAAAAATAGTCAGGTATGGTGGCACATGCCTGTAGTCACAGCTATTTGGGAGGCTGAGGTGGGAGGATCACAGCCAGGCCTGGGAAGGTCAAGGCTGCAGTGAGCTGTAATCACACCACTACCCTGCAGCCTAGATGACAGAACAAGATCTTCTCTCCAAAAAAAAAAAAAAAAAAGTGTAGGGGGGTGGGGTGCATGCATTTAGGTGAACAAATAATGTGTATAATATGAACATAGCATGTAAGAGTGGACAAATGCAATTATTTAACAGATAAAGAAGTCAAGGAGCCAGAGCTAGAGGACTTTGGGGGCAGGATGGGAAGTTTCACTGGAACTGGGAATTCTGGGAACAGAAGGGTCCTTAGAAGTACAGTGGCTCATGACTTGTAATCTTAGCACTTTGGGAGGCTGAGGCAGGCAGATCACAAGGTCAGGAGTTAGAGACCAGCCTGGCCAACATGGTGAACCACACCCCCCCCAAAAAAACCCCACAAAAATTAGCTGGGTGTGGTGGTGCATGCCTGTAATCCGAGCTACTCAGGAGGCTGAGGCAAGATAATCGCTTGAACCTGGAAGGCAGAGGTTGCAGTGAGCTGAGATCCTGCCACTGTACTCCAGCCTGGGCAACAGAGCTGTCTCAAAAAAGGGAAGACAAGTTCAGCCTTTTAAATATATATATATTTTTTGTAGAGATGGGGGTCTTGCTATGTTGCCTAAACTGGTCTTGAATTCCTAGGCTCAAGCAATCTTCCTGCCTGGGCCTCCCTAAACTTATCCTTTGATATGGTTAGTGTGATAAGGCAGGGGGACAATCCGTGGGTAAATGGCAGAAATATTGACTATGATTTAATTTTTTTTTTCAGGAGGAAAAAGGAAGAAGGTAGTGTGGGCTCCTCACCCAGACAGCTATCTGTTATTTCAGGCTTCGTGGACAGTGGGACTAAGATTTTGAGACAGACAGAGAGAAAGAGAGGAGAGAGAGGAGAGAGAGGAGAGAGAGGAGAGAGAGAGAGAGAGAGAGAGAGAAAGAGAGAGAGAGAGAAAGAGAAAGAAACAACAAAAAACAAAAAACCCAGAATGCTGAGAACTAACATCATCAGCATTCTCAGGGACCTCATGGAACTCTGGTGGAGGGAGGAGTCTGGCACCTGGACAGCACTCCTCAGTGACTTCATCAGTCTCAGAAGCCACAGGAAAGCAGCTTCGTCATCCTAAACTGAATGCCTTTTAACCTCTGGACTTCAACTGGCAGAGTGGAATTAAGAATAATGTGAAGCATCAGGCATCTGTGCTTCACGTGTTCCTCTCTGAAACTCCTTTGCTTTCCAAGGGCATCATGCCCTGTATTTGGCTTTAACATTTTGATATCCCAGTCTGGGCAACACAGCAAGACTCTCTCTCTCTCTCTCTTTTTTTTTTTTTTTAGAGGGAGTCTCCCTCTGTTGCCCAGGCTGGAGGGCAATGGTGAGATCTTGGCTCACTGCAACCTTCCCCTCCCGGGTTCAAGTGATTCTCCTGCCTTAGCCTCCTGAATAGCTGGGATTACAGATGTGCACCACCATGCCCAGCTAATTTTAGTATTTTTAGTAGAGACAGAGTTTCACCAATTTGGCCAGGCAGGTCTCGCACTCCTGACCTTGTGATACACCTGCCTCCGCTTCCCAAAGTGCTGGGATTACAGGCCTGAGCCACGGTGCCCAGCATTTTTTTTTTTTTTTTTTTTTTTTTTTTTTTGAGGCAGAGTCTCTCGCCCAGGCTGGAGTGCAGTGGCGTGATCGCGGCCCACTGCAACCTCCACCTTCCGGGTTCAAGCAATTCTCATGCCTCAGCCTCCCGAGTAACTGGGATTACAGGTACATGCCACCATGCCTAGCTAATTTTTGTAATTTTAGTAGAGACGAGTAAGACTCTGTCCCTTTTTTTTTCTTTTGTTAAGACTGTGTCTTAAAAAAAAAAAAAGCTGAGCAAGGTGGTGGGTGCCCTTAGTCCCAGTTACTTGGAAGGTAAATTACTATTTACATAATTTATTGTAGCATATTCTGCTTCTTTCCCAGAGCTGTGAAATCTCTGCTATATCAGTACTGGCTAAATTAGGTATTAAATGATTGAGCTTCAAATGGGCACATCAAGACTGCGGACTACATTCCTCCTTGCCTGGCGGCTGGGAAGTTTCTTAAGGCCTGTGTGTTTCTATCAGACTGGTCTTGAAGGCGGTGGCTCTCCGGATCTCCACAGAGCGTCAACGTTGGCTTAAAAAAAACGCCAAAGCTAGATTGTCCAAAAGGTATATAAAAGGTAGTTATATTATTTACAAGCCATCTTTTAGCCTTAAAACGTGATGAAGCATTTCCAGTTGCCTTTTCTTGAAATATTCAGCAACTCCCTTTTTTGTTAGGTCTGCGCAGCTGCCAAGACTTCAGATTAAAGGTGCTCCGGGGACTCCGATCTCCTGGGCACCCTCGGCCGGGACAATTTTGATTAAGCGCTACCTCCTGGCGGCAGCTCTACTGCCCGACGCCTTCCCAGCCTAGTGGGGCCCATTTTTTTTTTGGTTTGGAATCTGGAAGCTGATGCAACAGCTCCCCCAAGGGGGCGGGGCGGGGAGTAGGGAACTCAGGGTGGAAGAGACGGCCTTCCGGGAGAGCCCTCCTCTGGTTCCAAGCAGGCACCTCCCCTCGCCCGATCCTCACCGCCGAAGGGACTTCCCGGTCTGGGCACCCTACCCAGATTCAGCCAAGCATCTTGGGGCCAGAGGCAGCTGTGGCCAGGGGTTGGGGCTCTCGCCCAGGCCCTTGTCGGGCCGCCAGCATAAGCCGGGATTGGGAGGGAGGGAAACGGAAGCTTAGCGTTCTTGGGGTGGGGTGGAGGACCAGTCTCTAAAGGTATCCGCGGTCATTTTCATATCCCCGCAGCAATCCAGCTCTACAGGAGCGACCGGCGGGCAGGGGAGCGGATTCAAGGCCTCGGTGCTTGGACCTTTGCTCCCTTCACCTACACCCACCACAACCCCCTCTTCTAGCGCTTCCTAGAGTCGGGGGAAGGACGGGGGCAGCTTGGCCAGGTGGAGGAAGCGGAAGGGACCCCTGGTGGGGTGAGGTCCTGGTACCCCAAGGCAGAGTTCGGGTGGGTCCCCACAGCCAGACCTGGGCCTCGGCGGCGACCCTGTTCTTCAGAGGGTTATTGAAGGCGGACGGTAGCTGGGTCTGGGCTTGGGAGGGCGTTGTCGTAGGGTTGCAGACTGGGGGCCGAGAAGGAGGGAAATAAAAGGGAAAAGGCAGGGGCCCCGAGAAAGCAAGGGTGAATTGGGGGGTGGGGATGGGAGAAAGGGGCAAAGGTGAGACCTGCAGGTTGCGCGGGGGCGGAGAGGGGGATGGGAACGACTCTGGGATCGGCCAGTGAGGATCATGGGTTAGGGGAGAGCTTTTCGGGGGAAGGGCCAATGGCGTGCGTGTGGTGTGGAGTTGAGTTTATGCTTCGAAGTTCGGCTGTTGAGCCCACTTGGATATACCTGAACCTGAGTGTTCGCCTCCCTCTGCCTTTTCCTTTTCTGACCTTCACCCTTTCGCGATCATAGCACTTCGCTCTCGCCTTCTCCACGCCGCGCCCAGACCTGTCACCTGAGCCTGGGTGTAAGGCAGAGCAGACAAGAATTTCCCGGATCCAGGGCAAGAGTGTTAGATTATAGGCTTTTTGTTTTACTTTGCTTTTCCCATTAATGAAACAAAAGCCCGTTTCAAATCATTCTAGGCCTCCCAGTAAAACTATGAAAACCATGCTTTCCTCTTTCCCTTTAATGCATTACTATCAAAAAGATTACCTTCCAGTACTCCTTGCTTGAGAACCAGAGCCGCAGCCACACAGGAGGGCCTGGAGAGCAAATTCAAGGACATGCCTAGGAGCCCAGCCAGCTGGGAAATCAAATAAATAACAGTTCATTCATCCATTTATTAACCCAGCAAACATTTATTAACTGTCTACCTGAGCCCTGCACTGTGGGGATACAGAGGTGAACAAAGCTCTTGTGATGCTTATATTCTAGTGGGGGTGGTGACAGCAAACAAATGACGCCGGGAATGGACAACATCACTGGGAAGTATTTTCCAGGCAGGGAGAACAGGAATTGCAAAAGCTTTGAGGCCAGATCATGCTTGCTATGTGGCCACAGCAGGGAAGCCAGTGAAGCTGGAGTGGAGTGAGGAAGACAGCAGGGGGGCCCATGTGGATGAGGACAGCTTCTCTCCTCCTAGGACTTTCCTCACAACTTGGACCTGACCCCAGAGTGCAATTAGGGGCAGGAAAGTTGGGTAGCAGGCTGAGAGTGTCTAAAGGACTCTACATTATCCTTTATTTATTTATTTATTTTTACGGTGCGCTACATGTTCAGAGAAACTTCTCTAGTAACAAACTATAGAAATGATCCCTGAAAGTATAGTCTTTTTTTTTTTTAATTTATTTTTTTTAAAGATGGGGTTTCTCCATGATGGCCAGGCTGGTCTTGAACTCCTGACCTCAGGTGATCCACCCACCTCGGCCTCCCAAAGTGCTAGGATTACAGGCGTGAGCCACCGCACCCGGCCTTTATCCTTGGAATAATTCAGGTATTTGGTGCCAGTGAACTCTGATTTCTGTGTCTTGGTGAAATATGAGTTGGCTTTCATCCAGTGACATAGACTTATTGACAACTCCTTACCTGGACTACTTGTGTCTGGAGTAATTTTGCAACAGGCCAGTGTAAGTTGCAGGGTGTAGCCCAAAAGCCAGCCAGCTGACAGTTGCTTAAAGGCATTAGTCACAGTTGTAATTCCAAAAATGCATGATTCGCTCTGAAGTGCTGCTCCCTTAAGGCAAGAGATTTATACTATTATCTATATTTTAAGTGGTTTAATATGTTTACCATGTTTACCAAGAAGTTATTTGCTTCAGAAGATTGCATATGATGAAAATTTGTAATAGTTTCTAATTTTGAATATAAAAAAGGCTTTTTATATTCAAAGTTTTTATATTCACAGTTTTTATTCCAGGACAATCAGTATTTCCCCCACCTCTGCTAAGTAAATATTCGAGAGATTTTTTTTTTTTTTTTTTTTGAGACGGAGTTTCGCTCTTGTTACCCAGGCTGGAGTGCAATGGCGCGATCTCGGCTCACCGCAACCTCCGCCTCCTGGGTTCAGGCAATTCTCCTGCCTCAGCCTCCTGAGTAGCTGGGATTACAGGCACGCACCACCATGCCCAGCTAATTTTTTGTATTTTTAGTAGAGACGGAGTTTCACCATGTTGACCAGGATGGTCTCGATCTCTTGACCTCGTGATCCACCCGCCTCGGCCTCCCAAAGTGCTGGGATTACAGGCTTGAGCCACCGCGCCCAGCCCGACAGATGTTTAAATAATACCGGTTTGAAGGGATGTCAACTCATTAGTCTGACCAGGGTGCCACGGCCCAGTTGGCTCTTACCTGGCGACACACATCGATATCACCTGAACCAATTGGAGAACTCAGCTGTGAGTGAGCTTGCTTGGTGTCTAAATGTGTGCTTGGCTGTCCCCCTATAAGTGGTCTTCCTTGGACTGCATTACCTCTCTTGGCTTGCTTTAGGGGCTGAAATGGCACTGACACGCTTGAGACGGGATTGCAGAGTTTCCTTCCCCTAACCGTGGGATCGTATCCCCTCTGCAGGACTACGGATAGTACAGGAGTAGGAGATGAGGAGGAAATGGGATGAGGGGAGTTGTAAGAGGTATCATAAGTCACAGTTAATGGAGGGGAAAGCTTAAGTGCTCAGTAAATGTAGGGCAACACGGAAGAGGGGAGTGGTGCTGAGGTAGGGAGGAGGAGGAGCTGAGACTCAGAGTGGAGAAGGTGCCTGGAGGCTGGCAGGCATTGAGGTCCTCTGGGTCTGATCAGGCAGTCCCAGCTCCAGCCCGTCCCCTGGCCCCTCCCCGCTGCTGGCCAGAGTCACACATGTGTTTTCCTGTTTTCCATTTCGGTCCCCGTCACCCTTTGCTTTTTCTGTTTCTCAGAGTCAACAGCTGCTGCAGCGGGAGCCATACCCTTGGTTCTCCTAACTAGTACCTTCCCCTCTCCTGAGCTGGTAGCCCCTCCTCCCTGCACCTGCCCAAAGATCACTGGACTGGTAAGAGTCGGGAGAGGAGGAACAATGGGCGAGAGGGGAAGTGCAGGAGGAGGATGGAGCCAGTGCTAAAACTCGACTGAATGGTGACCTAAGAGCCTCCTGTTTCTTGGTCCCAACCCTGTCCCTTCCTGGGCTAAAACTTCTGCCCAGAGGCTTCAGCCCTTTGTTAATGGAAACCCTGGCCACAGGAGTAAACAATTTCTTTCTTGTTTCCCTTTTTTTTTTTTTTTCTTTTTAAAGGGACTGTCTTAGCCACAGTGGAATATAGAAAGACAGAGAACTAGGGTGGGAGGGGCTGAGCTAGCTTGGAGTGATGGGGAAATCCAGTCATGCCAGAGTGTATCTGTTTTCTGTTTCTGTTGTTAGGGGAGGCAGCGCAGACTGGTTGGAGCCAGGAAGAGACGTGGGGTCTCTGGGAGAGAAAGTGTATTCTTACAGTAGTTCCCTGAGCTTGGCTGAGGAGCCAAGACCCCAAATTATGTGCTAGCACCTGGAGGAAGTGTGTTTTGGTGTTGCCATTTGGGGGTGAGGTTAGGGTGAGGGGGTTCCATTGGCTGCTCTGCCCGGCACTACAGGCACTGCATACTGGGTACCCTGCTGCCTGTTTCTGAATCAAATTTCTTCCACAGCCTGTAGGATGAGAGTGTTGTTTTGTAATCTTTACTGGGTCCTCAGAGATGAATGCATCTCAGACAGGGAAGGACGACAAGGGCTGCTGTTATCTTACAGGGTTTCTCATGTAAAACTTAGGGTAGGCCAGGCACGGTGGCTCACACCTGTAATCCCAGCATTTTGGGAGGCTTAAGTGGGCAGATCATGAGGTCAGGAGTTCAAGACCAGCCTGACCAACATGGTGAAACTCCCGTCTCTACTAAAAATACAAAAATTAGCTGGCGCAGTGGTGGGTACCTGTAATCCCAGCTACTCAGGAGGCTGAGGCAGGAGAATCACTTGAACCCAGGAGGCAGAGGTTGCAGTGAGCAGAGATCGCGCCACTGCACTCCAGCCTGGGGGACAAAGCAAAACTCTGTCTTGCGGGAAAAAAGAGCCCCTTTTTCTACCCTGGGGTAGAAGAGCCCCTTTGGGAGGGCCTATTGGTGCTGCTGGTCCCAGGCGGCCTGAATGGTGGAAGCATTACCCCAAGTCCCAGGGCCTTAGGAAGAAATGTGAGCGCCAAAGATGGTGCCTTCTTGTGCAGGGTGCTAGGTAGTGGTTGAAAAAAGAAGGGGCGGGGTTCAAAATCTCCATGAATGGCAGCCTCCCTTGCCTAGTTTGCATGGGCAGACTGAAGTAGGTTAGAGTCCACACATAGTACTTCTTGGTGCTACCACTAAGGTGTGCTGTTTGCTGGAATGTGGGTTTTACCCCTAGCAGATTTCTGTCTCAAGATCCCATGGAGAGGACTTTACTTTTTAGATGCTATCAGTCAGGAATGAAACCTTGTACACTTCTCTCCCCATTCCCCCTGACAGTTTTCCCTTCCTTTGTCACTCCTTCCTTCCTTTCTTTTACGTCATATTAAGACACATGCCCACCCCTTGGTGCCAGTGAATTTGGTCTTAAAAGGGCAAGCATGGTGATGTGTTTGTGTGTGTTTTTGTTTGCTTTAGAAGTGGGCACCCTAGCAATAGCAGTACTGCCAAGAGGACTTGTAATCGCCTCTTATCCCTGCAAAGAATGAGAAAGGGGAGGGGCAGCCAGGAAGGAGATGAACAAACTTTGCTGGAGCCTTTAGCCTAGGCTACAGGCTGAAGGATGACAGAGGCTTTCTTTTTAAGCTAGTCTGATTACATCTTCCCCCAGGTAATTCACGTAGATAATTCCCATCGGCTGGGCTTGGTGACTCACGCCTGTAATCCCATTTCTTTGGAGGCAGAAGCAGGTGGATCACTTGAGGCCAGGAGTTCAAGACTGGGTTGGCCAACATGGCAAAATCCCGTCTCTATTAAAAATGCAAAAATTAGGCCAGGCACGGTAGCTTATGCTTGTAATGTCTGTAATTATAGCACTTGGGGAGGCTGAGGTGGGCGGATTGCCTGAGTTTAGGAGTTCAAGACCATCTTGGTCAACATGGTGAAACCCCAACTCTACTAAAAATACAATAAATTAGTTGGGTGTAGTGGTGTGCAGCTGTAATCCCAGCTACTCAGGAGGCTGAGGCAGGAGAGTTGCTTGAACCTGGGAGGCGAAGGTTGCAGTGAGCAGAGATCATGCCACTGCATTCAGCCTGGGTGACAGGGTGAGATTCTGTCTCAAAATAAATAAAAAATAAAATAAAATAAAAATACTAAAATAAAAACACGAATACTAGCCACGTGTAATCCTACTTACTCAGGAGGCTGATGCATAAGAATCACTTGAACCAGGAGGTGGAGGTTACAGTGAGTTGAGATTGTGCCACTGCACTCCAGCCTGGGTGGCAGAGTAAGACCCTGTCTCAAAAAAATAATATAAAAGGAAGGCCTAGAGACTAGGGCAGGTCAGGGGATGGGGAGATGCAGAGATAGTATACCTGCGTGATTAAGAGCATATGAGCTCTGGTGGTTCCATGAGATAATGTGCTTAAGTGCTTAGCAGTATGTCTGGCCCAGGTAGTGCCCAATAGCAATTACTATTACAGAAGCATTTTGGAGAAAAGGATAGTTTCCTCCAGAAGGATTTCAGATCATCGTGAGCCTGTCTTGGGAGAAGCATGATCTCTGGGAAGGCTAACACCAGAATCCTCCTCCTAATTTAAAAATTTAAAGAGCTAGAATGGAAGGATGTAGGGTAGAGATGTCGCTCAGAGATATTTCGATCTCTATTCTCTGTTTGTAGAATAACTAAAGAGGATTAGAACAGGTGTGAGAAGGGACAGACAGTTGGATTTCAGAATGGATAGGGTCTATTTCTGTTGGTAAAAGAGATGCAGAATACCAGATTTAAAGTAAACAAGATAGTAAAGAATAAATACAGAATAAACTATGTGATTTCAAAAAAATGCTCAGCTTCTTCTGCCTGTTCTGGGCCTGTCTGTCCAACAGAATTCAGTGAAATCTGATTTCCTCGTATTTTTAGGAAAGCAGAATAACCTTGTATTTGGGAAAGGTGTTTATAGGAATTTATGCTCATCCCAAAGATCTTGGTATGTTTTCTCAAGGATGAAAGGGCACATGGGTCTGGTGGGGATGCAGTTGGAGATTTGATCTCTTGACTGTGTTTCTTCTTCTTCTTCTTTTTTTTTTTTTTAAGATGGGGTTTCATCATGATGGCCAGGCTGGTCTTGAACTCCTGACCTCAGGTGATCCACCCACCTTGGCCTCTCAAAGTGCTAGGATTACAGGCGTGAGCCA